TGAAAAAAAAAATCATCTTTTAACAACGTTTTATTAGCTTTATTCACGCGCCATCATGTTAGTACAGCTAAATGAAACGATAATTTCATAAAAAATATCATGAAAATACTGAAACATAAAACCAGCAGTGGAAACTGAATTGATATCACCTGACTAATGGAGGTTAATGTACGCGCGAACGGTGAAAAACAAACGCTGGCCTTGAACTTGGGCACTGAGCGATTTATCATATATTGGTACGAAAGGCGCGCGACGGGGGAACAATCCGCCAGTATTAGTGTGCCTGCATGCTATTGGTTCCCGCGCTTTGTTCGCTCCAAAAATACAGTCGCATACACAGCTTACTTTGCGACTCGCGACGATGTTTTAAAAAGGAAGGAAAGAAAAATTATTTATATCTATTGTTTTATGACTAAACTAGTGATCGAAAAGGTAAATATGATAGGAGAAGGTGAATGGGGAAAATTGTGCAGTAAAGTTAAAAGTGTGGAGGAAGAATACCGAAAAAATTACCATGTGATCGACCTGATGACGGAAGCTCAAGCGAAGATGAAAGTGATGATCAAGTAGCATCCAGTAACACCAACACACCATTAACATCTGGCTTCCATGTGACCCAAGACGTCATAATGGACGGCGTGTTACCCTTAGCTAAAGTTTTCTTGTTACAAACTACTTTATATTTTACGATAGAAATAACAAATAATGTTCATGTAAACATTATCCATTTTTAATTCCCACCTCTTCCAAAGTTCTAAGTAGCTAGTAAAACACCTATTATGATTCTACATTAAAACAATTAATTACTATAATATTATAAAACAATAGCCCAATACCATGTAGTACTTTAGAACGCGATTGTACCCACACCCCCTCCGCTATCGACCTGTATCTAGCTCGGTACGAAACACGCGGTCGTAAGAAAAAAGGGCGCATCTAACAATTTATGAATAAATGAGTTAAATATACCATTCGATTCATGATAAGAAGGCGCATCTACTAAATTTTTTTAATATTCACAAATATCAATATTTTAGAAATTATCGTAAGAATTTTAGACGTAACTGTTGATCACAGATGACTTTTTTTAGTAGAAAAGACTTATACAAATTCAACATAAAAGAAAAGACTTATTTAACCAGTTGCTACGTCATCTTTAACAATATTTGCATCGATTACTTAAATTTCAATTATTCTTGGTCTTGTCTTATTATTCTATATCTTATTATTAGGAGCTTATATCTTATTGTTAAGAGCTGGTGTTTCACATGTGGTCCCATATAAATTTGATCGAGGTCAGACCAATAGTTTTTGAGTTATCCTTAATTATTTATATTAAAGTCGGTTGTACAAAATTTTTAATTTTTAATTATTATCGTAGTAAGTCTTGTATGATATCCCCTTTAAAATCATTACTTTTTAAAATTATTATTTTTTGTGTCTCACTACCAATGCTTTTCTAATATTTATTAAAAAAAAAAGTAGTAAATTACTATTAGCGTCCTTTCAACTTCAAATGACCTTTCCAAAATATGTAAAATTGTTAAATGAATGGCAGTTTTTTTTTAATTTATTAGGTTGGAAAGACGCAAATAGTTATATGCGTCTTTCCTTCGATGTTTTTGTGTTGCCAGGTGTATTTTTTAAGCTAAGATGAAAAGGAAAATTCGTTTTATTTAAATAAATAAACAAATTTAAAAAAAAATAAGTTCGTCCTTAAAATCTTCATGTCTCTACGTATATATTTCAATATAGATACCTTTTAATATACTTTAGACACGGGGTCTGAAAGAAAAATTCATCAATTTATTTTTTATTTCCATTTTACGTTTTTGTTAGTTACTTCCTTTTTTATTATGACGGCAGAATGCCTAACCCTGTCGCCTCACGCTTGTGACGCAGTAATTTTCAGCCTTGACGGGGTTCGTTGGTTTTAGTTTTTGAGACAGTTTCGTGTTGATTTTGTACACGCGTGCGCGAGCGACAGTTCAATCGTTTTGTTTAATAAATTTACTTGTGATTACGTGTTGATATTAAAGTTTTTGTTACGTTTTTGGATTCTTTTTTGTTTTAATAATGCCTAACGCGTACGTTTATAGTGGTTATTATACTGCCGTTGGTTATTATATCAGCAACAACGTGTGCCTGGTTCCATTGAGCACATTATCTGGACGGATGAGTCGACATTTACCAGAAACGGCCTGTGGAACCGAAGAAATACACACGTGTATTCAGAGGTTAACCCGCACGCTGTTCGACAAACCGGGCACCAAACCCGATGGTCGGTTAACGTATGGACAGGTTTATTTAAGGATCGCATACTGGGACCAGTGTTTCTGCCAGAGCGACTGAACGGACAGCGATACCTAAACTTTATAAATGAACAGTTGGTTGACATTTTAAACGACCTATCGTTGGCTGAATATCGCCGCACATAGTTCCAACATGATGGTGCCCCTCCACATTTCGTGAGGTTCGTCCGTGAGCGCCTCAATGAGCTATTTGATGATCGCTGGATCGGCAGACTAGGACCACACGCTTGCCCACCTCGCTCACCAGATCTGACTCCGTTAGACTTCTTTTTGTGGGGTATGTGAAAGAAAGGGTTTTTAATCGTGAATGTGATAGTGCTGAAGAAATGCGCCAAAGGATCGTGGATGCTTTCGAGAAACTACGTACGGACTGTGTCGAAGACCACACGATGATGCCCCGCCTGCACCCAAGTCTGCCTTGAAATGAATGGAGCACAATTTGAGCCGCATCTCATAAGACCACGGAGGATTTAGAGCAGTAAGCTGTTTCATAACTATTTTTTTTTAAATAACTTAGTACTAGACTAATCTGAATAGGTACATAACTGAATACACGAGAATAATAAACATACCTACACGATGAATAAAAACGCATGACTCCAACCTTGGTTACATTTCATTTAAGTATTTCTTCATTAGCGGGGAATCGAACCAGTTATTTGGGTTATTTAACCTGTAAATTCGGATTAAAGTGGCTACGTGGAGATAAGCACAGTGGCAAAATAGTAGGTTAAGTAGATAAGTTAGGTATTTAGACACGTGTTGTAAATTATTAGGTATTGTTGGAAGGCCCGCTAGTTGCGGGCCGCGCGAATTTGTGTTCGCGCGTACATTGACCTTTATCTAGCTCAGGTCAGGTGATATCAATTCAGTCATTCCACTGCTGGTTTTATGTTTCAGTATTTTCATGATATTTTTTATGAAATTATCGTTTCATTTAGCTGTACTAACATGATGGCGCGTGAATAAAGCTAATAAAACCTTGTAAAAAGATGATTTTTTTTTCATCAGGATCGAATTTATTTGTGACCCATGATCAAAGGTATACTTGGTGTTGTCGCCTGTCTTAGTTTTCGGGAGCGTTCCAAAAACAACCTGTATATATATATATATATATATATATATATATATATATATATATATATATATATATATATATATATATATATATATATTATATCCCGCGATTGGCTTTCAGACTGTGAAATATTATCTTTTAACTAGTGTGCGTTCGTCTTTGGATCACACCGTACGCGTCGTTTAACGTTTACAAACAAAATTAATTGTTTTGCTAGATAGCCTCGATTTACGTGTGATACTTAAGTCAAAACATACGTTACGTACGCGTTGATACTGGATATCAAATCATATAAAGTTTAGAGAGGAATATTATGGTGAATTTATAACAAGAAAAGTTACGAATACAAATGAGTATACGCATAAGTTCACTCAAGTAATGACAGAGCCGACAGACACGAACTTGAGGATGTGACGGCGGCGGGGAACGGTGAGCGGGGTACAGGGGGAAAATATAATATGAAAATATCGCTCGGTTGATCGAAAAAATATTTATAGTGTGAAATGTAATATATATTACATCTCAATGTAAACGGTTCCATTTAAAAGTACAGTGAGCGATATTAATTTATATCTCGAGATGTAATATAAATTATATTATATCCCATAGTGAAAAGCGAGCCTTAATCGAATATAGATGTAGATATCTATAGCATCCAATTACTATCAGGTGGGATGTAAGATCATCCGTCATGCCTACACCTCAAAAAATATACGTTCATAATACATAAAGCTTTCACGCCTGTTACCCACAGAGGTAGGCAGAGAGACTTACATTTTATATTATATCTATATTATGAAGTAGTTTACTATATTTATCTAATCAAGCTAATGGGGTATCGAAGTCTGAAAATCATTATACATAATTTAAAACTAAATTAACTAGTTGTTTTTGTTGTTAAAATTCTCCAATCAATACAGGCAAAGGTCTTAATACCATACAGCCTAGTCTGATGTGAATTTTGTTCAAACTGAAATATCTTTAAAATCCAACTTCCTGACGTAGTAAGTATTATTCAAGACAAAATTGTTCATAATGCCAAACTGTATCTTTACATATTTTTCATTTGTAGACGCAAGAATAAAATGTCAACAAAATTTTGTTTGGGAGTTCGCCATTGTTCTTTGCTTTGTCACTCTTTCCTCATTCATTCTTCCTATGTATCAAAACCACCAAAGCATTCCTTCCTTAACCCTGATCATAATATAATAATTTATATATTTATTTTCTACCTGAGAGTGGGTTAGATCTTTTTTACATAATTACTGTAAAGCTATGTCCAGCTGTGGATTGTTTCTGGATAAGTTAAGAGCAAATAATAAATATTTGACTGTATATAAAATAACCATGTAGTGCCGGTGTAAGAATATCCACTACTCCTTATAGTCCCGTGGATGCCGTAAAAGGCGACAGAGGGAAACTGAAATAGTTGTGCAGCTGCATCTTTCTGTAATTCAAAATAATAAAAAAATGCGGTTAGCAACCCGTTTGCCAGGCATGGCAACTGAGGCAAAATCACTCCCGTGGAGCAATGTTTGGAGGAGACCTTTGTTCAGCAGTGGAATTTTATAGATGGACGGATATAGACTAACAAAATCAAAGATACTTACAGATAAAGAGGCCATAAAACAATCGGGATCTTCGTACTTAGCGCTTAGAACATAGAGTACAGAATCGTATTCTATAACTTGACTGAGCCAAAGCTGACATTGCACCAGGCTTCCTAAAGTAAACGTAATATTCCATTCGTTTTTATACTGTTTGTAGATTTGGCTTGAATGCTCCTGAAAGAAAACATGAATTGTGTAATTTTTCTGCTGGATAAGATATCTGCGCGTGTAACTGACATATCCCAGCGAATCAGTAAGCTGGATTGGTAATGGGCCGGCCATAATATAGCTCGAAGACCGATTGGGAAGAAATGTTCTCGAGTGACAGCCTCGTATTGGCAAGCGAGAGCGATGGAGCGACGAGCCCCTACTCCAGTGGGGACCCCTTACTTGATGGAGTGGTGATCCCCTATACAATTAAAGGGCGATCCACTGCTAGATGAAGTGGCGATCCACTGCTAGATGAAGTGGCGACCCCCTACTAAATGGAGTGGCGACCCTCTACTAGATGGAGTGGCGACTCCCTTTTAGATGGAGTGACGACTCCGTTTTAGATGGAGTGGAGACTCCCTTTTAGATGGAGTGGCGACCTCCTAAAAGATGAAGTGGTGACCCCTGATAGATGGAGTGGCGACCCCCTAATAGATGGAGTGGCGACCCCCTATTCGATGAAGTGACGACCCCCTGATAAATGGAGTGGGAACCCCCTACTAGATGGAGTGACGACATGATGAAACGCGGTAGTCGAACGATTCAGGTGCCTCAGGATCGTACTTTGTGGCAGTATATCACGGAGCACATACAAAGCGGTGTTGTAATTAGATTTCACTATGTAACAACGCTCACCTGAGGGGGTGTTAAGCACCGCCCACTTAACTATTTTCCATCTACCGATAAACAGTAAAACTACTCGCATCGTTCCATATTGATGTTGCAATGTAGTTTAGCTACTAATGGATTCTCTTTAGACAGATAGATTAAGATTCCTAATAAATAGGTAGGTCCTAGGTAATAAATACCTTTTTAATATGATATTCCAGCATAATCTTGGGTCCAGCCCAAGAGCAAAGGATGCATTGTACCCTTATGTCCATTCCTATGCGCTCCATATAGTCCTGAAATCAAGATAATATTGCCACTAATTATAGTTTCTTAACTTCAAACAGGAGGAGGTTCTCAAGTGTACGTTTTATTTTTATTTTTTTAACTTCCCGCTATGATCAATGATTTTCAAAAAATGGGGAATTAATTGGTTTCACTCCGGTTTTCGAAAATCGAGTTCTCATGAGATCTTCAAGTTTTGAGATCCTAGGAATCTATTTTGACTATTCCGTTTTACGAGAATGTCCCTTCGTGTGTGTGTGTGCGCGCGTGCGTGCGTGTGTGTGTGTAAACTTATAACTTTAGGACATTGATGCACGGCATTCGAAAGAGTTCTATTGCCATTAGATTTTATGTAAATTTGAATCAATTCGGCTCGGTAAATTTTGAGAAATCTCAAAAATGAAACTCTAAAAAATGTTTTCGAAAATCAAGAAATGGTTGCAAAAATTTTTTATGACCTTCCACCTACTACAAATTGGGAACCTATTTTGATAATTTTTATGTATGTTACGCAATATCTTCGCAGATTGTGAACCATTTTTGATTATTATTTTTTCATTATACTTCAACGGTGGTCCCATATAAATTTAGAGAAAAAAATTTCACACCTTACGGTAGCAAATAAATAAATTCTTTTTTAGCAATTTGAAGTCAGTTTTTACTTTTTTAAAGTTATAATTATTAAAAGCTAAAATGCGACGAACTAAATATTTAAAACAACATAGACGACGGAGTGGAATAACGAATTGAAACTTATGACTTTTCAGTTAAGTTTCACAGCCCCTTACCTCGACCTTTATGCTATATATAGGTAGCTTTTTGAACTGTTTAGGTCGTAGAGTTCAAATCATTATAGCTATAATTATGAACTTTGAACTTAATGTCGATTTCATGATGTAAAGATTCACAAATATTTTTTTTCTCAAAATATAAACCCTCTGTAGGTAATATCCCAGTTAGGTAAATACTTTAACAATCCTGATAATTTATATCATTTTCCTTAATTCCACGCAGACGATGGGAAAAACTATTCCGATAAAAAAAAACACTTACGCCATCTTGGCTGATGATCTCAAGAGCATCTTCTACCATTTCGGGTATTGTAACACAAGCGCCCAGCCCTTGAGATTGTGATGTGTCCATCGATGACGCTGAAGTATTAAGCTCTGAAAATTGATACTTTTCATTATGATGATGTTGCTACCGTGATAAAACTAGGGTTAGGTTTATTGACAAATTCACTCTTTTATCATCCTTGTTTTTTTATGGAATAAGAGTGACAAACCAGCACAGTTATTTTTATACGTGATAGTCACTCTGTAGCTATATCATGGTTGTAGCATAAATAGGTCCCGTACTGCTCTCTTTTGCAAAACATATATGGCTTCGATGTCAGTCGCATTACCCCATAGCAAAATTCCATAAGACATTAAACATAACATAAAAATAAACTAACCTAGCCGTCTCAACATTGGTGACACTTCTAATCTTTCTTACAGCATATGCTGCGTAACTTAGTCTGCCTGCTAAGTAAGATATATATTGAAGTATCGCGTCAATAGTAATACCAAGAAAAACAGTGGTATGCACAAGACTCAACTCTTCCCCATTTAAGAGCACATTGGTATTTGAATGTTTAACATTAGGTGTTGTAAATTTAATACATTTGGTCTTATTGCCGTTTAAGTCCACAATGTTGGCATTAAACCAATGTACTAATTTCGATAGAACATTATTGACATTGTAAAAATTAATTGAATTACATAATTGAAAATTAAAGAGGTATCATCAGGAAATAATACTATATCGTGATTGTCTCCTACAAGATAAGACTTAAATTTAGAACTTGGGAGAACCACGAGACAACATATTGTTGCTGCTATCAGAATACAGCTGGACCGATACTGTGTCAGAAACTTTCAGTGTGTCTGAATACTGTATCTTTAACCAACAATCGCCAATAAATAGTTATTTTTGCAATGAAAACAATGTTTTATACTCTTGATTATTGAATGCTTTAAGCGCGAAGCGCGCAGGTGTTCTGCTAGGGCCTAAAAATTAAGATTTCAACGTTTTGACGCACGAAATCGTATCTAGCAATCATACTATACATATAAATGATATAAAAATCACATTGTCAGAAAGATACATGATTGATGAACTTATTAATATATTTTTTAAATCGATTAATTGCTATTTTTACATAAAAAAGGGGTTTTAGTGGCTTATGGTGTGGATTTATCAAGTACGCACGGCAGCGTAAGCACGATAACTTTTGAAAATATCAATTGTTCAACTCAATATATTTTTAAAACTATTCATCTATCATGTGGGAAGCCATGGAATGTAAATGGCAGTTTAATTTTGTTTTGTTTAGTTATAATTAATTTTTTTTGGCTAAGAAACGTAGAAATTTTCGGTGGTTTGTGAGCCTTGTATTAATTTATTTTACTAAATACACTGTTTCACTCCGTTATTTGTCATTCTGGCCTCGGCCGCCGTTGTGAGTGGATGTTGTATCGCTTGTTTGCAGCGAAAAAGTTCGCCGCAGAAATACAAAATATTCCAAAAACCAAATTTGATACATAATTGAACCAAGGTAATATATTATTATTATTTTTATGATCACAGATTTTTATTACAATATTTTGTTTCCCTGAAAGCACACAGGATTTATATATAAACTAGTTGTTCCCCGCGACTTCGTCTGCGAGTAATTTAGGGTTTTAATTTTTTTTGCGCGGAACTCTAATTCTTTTTCTAAAATAAAAGTAGTCTAAGTTGCTCCTTATAACATCAGCTATCTGTCAGTGAAAGGCCCGTCAAAATCGGTCCTGCCATTTCGGAGATTAGCCGAAACAAACAGATAGAGAGACAAAAATAAAAAATAGTATGTTTGTTATAAGTACCGTAAATACTTTCATATGGATTTGGTAAAAAACTGTTATTTTGACAGTACAAACAGACACTTCAATTTTATTTATTTGTATAGATATACTTGTACGTCTTGGACTTTATAGACCTGAAAGTGTTCTTCGGTATCTGCTACTGGAACTCCTCGACGAGGAGAACTACATATGCCGAGTTTGGCCTCGTTTTGTTAGTTATGATAAGACCTTACCTCTGGTCTTGATAGAGTGACTTCAAAGTGTACTTTGATGACTGCTACAGAAACTCCTTAACGAGGAGAACTAGATGTGCAGAGTTTGGGCTCGTTTTGTGAGTTATGATGATACCTTACATTCAGACTTGATAGAGTGACTGAAAGTGTGCACTTTGATGACTGCTTCTGGAACTCCTCGGCGAGGAAGATGTGCCGAGTTTGTCCTCGTTTTGTTAGTTATGATGAGACATTACCTCCGAACTTGATGGAGTGATTTGCAAGTGTACTTAGGTGTCTGCTACTGGAACTCTTTGACTAATATAACTACAATTTACATTTTTTTAAATTTTTTTATGATCATATGAGCATTATGAGTCATGCATCATGAGCCATCATATGAGCATTATGACCCTTTTTACTGGAAATGAGACATTCCATCTTAGTCCTCACGGGTGACAGTGCATTTTGATTTGTAATAGAGAATAGATGTAGATGTCTATGGGCCGCAGCAACCACTTACCATAAGGTGGACTGTGTGCTCGTTTGTCACCCCTATCCTATTCATTTTTGGATTTTCCAAGCTTTTTTTAAATTGAAATTTGACATAAAATAATCGGAAAATTTGAAGTATAGTAATAGTTATAAGGTTTTTAAAACTTGTGTGTAATTAAACTGCTTTAAACATTTACATATAATCATGTTATACGTAATTTTTTGAATACGCTTAAGGCATGCACAATTGGATTTACCAATATATATTTCAATATTGATTCCGTCTCTCAAGTTCTTCTTAGTGAGAAAGCAAATACCAAAGGGCAACGAAAGAGTTCAACCCCCTAGCAAATGTAAATAAATAAAATAAAAAATAAATATTACCTTCATTATACGCGTAATCGTTTCCATGCGCGTTCTGTTGTGGAAACCTGAGGAACTCCGAGAGACGCGGTATATTGTCATCACTGTAATTTCTGTACCGACTATCCGCCTCTACTAGCGCTAAAAATATAATCAATTTTTCTTATGAGGTGTTTGTTGGTGTATGAGAAGCTAATGTTATCTACTTCTAGCCTGACGTTTTCGTAAAAGCCGATAAACTGTAATAATGGACAAAATCTAGTAGGTAGGAGAGAAGCCATCTCAATAGTACCTCCATTAAAGAGTTTTTAACAAACGAGCACACTGCCCACCTGAGGGTAAGTGATTGCTGTGGCCCATACACATCTACATTATTTATTCTCGATTACGAATCAAAATGCAGATGCGTTGTCACCCCTGAGGACTACGATGGAATGCCTCGTTTCTAGTAAAAAGGGTCTCCGGTTCTCTACACTCACCATACTAAACACAACAGTATTAAACTGCTATTTTACGCTGGTGTTCTGTGAGAATGTGGTCCTATCCCGATCGAGCCGACCCATTCGTGCTGCAACCATAATAATATAGCTGGAGCATGGCTCTACCACGTAAAAAAAACTTCAACCTGACGTTCGTAAAAGCAAATATAATCATGCACAAAATCTAATAGATGGGGAGAAACAATCTCAATAATGCCTGGATTTGAATCCATTGAAGAGTGATTTACAAAAAAAAAAACAAACTAAACTAATATAAATATTTGTAATATAGTGGTGATGTAAACTAATCCACTATCCATCATCATGTTTGTGTTGTAAGAAGCGACAGAGAAAAAATGAAGCAGAAAATGGGTAGCAGCATATTCCTGATAACTCAAAATTTAAAAAAAAACTGCGGCAACCCGCCAGTCAAGCGTGGTAACTATGGCAAATGGGTGAGCTGCCATAGTTTGCCGGCTGTTGCCGGGAGGCGTATGATCAGCAGTGAACTTTCAGATCGGCTGTTATGAACGCATAATGAAAAGTACTGAAGTTTCAATCTAAAGTACAATAATATCTATATCTACTATAGCTGTGTTGGACGAAATTCAATCGTCGTCCCGAATGGGAGCAGTAACAAAGGTCAAAACGTCTGCGATTGTTGTCGCCAATAACGCCAAGCGTGGCGATTAAGGATTTGCCTTAAATCGTAACTATAGGAACAAACTGGACTGTGAATTGTTTAAGGGCTGTTAAAAAAGGAGGCAATGGCGATAATTTTCTAGTTGCACGAAATTAAGTTGTATGAAAGCTTTGTATATAGTGATTTCTTATATTTACGCGAACACTACACATTTAAATGAAACTAATTTTACGGATTTTATCGCGTATATTAACTTATTTTACATTCCCGACGTTTCAAGCACTTTACAGCACCCATGGTCACGGGGGGGACTGAGGTGTATGACGTCCCAATGTCATAGTTAACCACGGCTACCTCCAGATTAAAAATTATTAATCTTTGTTCCGATCTACGCAGTATGAACTTACAGTATCATGAAGTCTTGCAGTTGTATGCTTGGGTTGGGATTTAATTTTATTAATTATGGGATCCCAAGCAGATGGTAGCACCCAGCCATCTTCTCTATTGAAATTAGGATGTTTTTTGATTTCAATAGCCTCGCGAATCATCCTTGGAAGGAATCGGTGTTCTTTAGCGAGGATTTGTGGTCTATCAAATCTAATGTAGTGACGGGGGCGATCCTGTACATGTTCACAGACTGCAGACTTCCCGGAGCGTCTATTCTTCACATCAGCTATGTGTTCTTTAACGCGGGTTTTTATGGATCTTTTAGTTTGTCCTATATAAGAGAGACCACATTCACAATCCAGCTTGTACACTCCTGCATCTTGCAGAGGAATATTACACTTGAGTGATGGTAAAAACTGACTAATCTTCTTCGGCGGCTTGAAATATGTTTTAATGGAAGCACGCTTCAAGATGTAGCCAATCTTGTCAGTGACACCTCTGACATATGGCAGTACAGCAGGCACTCGCTCGACTGTGGCCGGCTTCACTCGTTCACTGTGACGTAGGCGCGGGACCCGAAGCTTATTGTCGTGCAAAACTTGCTTGACGTGTTGGAGCTCGGCGGCCAGGTGTTTACTGTCACAGATCCCTCGTGCTCTCTGAAACAAAGATTTACCCACGGTAGCTAACTGTGAAGGATGGTGGTGAGAATCACCGTTTAAATATCTATCTGTATGGGTCTTTTTTCTATACACAGTGTGGCTCAAGGTGTTATCAGGATTCCGAATTACTAATACATCTAGAAAAGCTAAAGAATTGTTTGCCTCTAACTCCATTGTGAACTGAATTTTAGAATTTAAGGAGTTAAGATGGTCTAAAAATGCAGTTACTTTATCTAAAGGTAGAATTGTGAAAGTGTCGTCTACGTACCGCTTGTAGAATCTTGGGTTTATGGGAGAAGTAAGCAGGGCTTTCTCCTCAAAGTCCTCCATGAATATATCGGCGACAATGGGAGATACAGGTGAGCCCATCGCCACTCCATCTACTTGCTTGTAGAACTCCTCCTTCCACAATAGGTAGCCAGATGTAAGGCAGTGTCTGAGTAATACTGCATATTCTACGGGCATGTTGTTTTCCTCTAGCCTTCTAGTAACAATCGAGATGCAGTCTTCAACAGGTAGGCATGTGAATAGAGACTGCACATCAAAACTCACCATAGTTTCATTGTCTGCCAGATGTAGGTCTTTAATCTCGCTGACAAATTGGTAGGAATCCTTTGTGTGTGCTCTTGTATGTCCCTTGAGCGGTGAGAGTATATTCGCTAAGTATTGAGCCAATCTGTAAGTTGGTGAATCGATTTGGCTCACTATAGGACGTAGTGGAGCATTGGGCTTGTGTATTTTTGGTAACCCATACAACTTCGGTGGTTTAGCACATGTAGGTATTATCGATTTTACGTCTAGATTTAATTTTTCGGAGTGTTTCTTTATGAGATCACTAGTTGTTTTAAGTGTGTTATTTGTTGGGTCATTTTTAACCTTTTTATACGTACTTGCATCCGACAAAAGTTCTTGTATTTTAGAATTATAATCTGACGTATCCATAACTACCGTGGCATTTCCCTTATCTGCGCGGAGAATCGTGAGTTCTGGTTTATTGCGTAGGTTAGTCAACGCTTTGAATTCGTCTTTAGGTAGATTCGGTTTTGGCGCTGAACTTCGACGTAACATAGACGAAATGTCTTGACGTATCGCTTCCAAATCCTCCTTTTGCATATTGTTTTTAAATAAACAGTCCTCGACACTACAGATAATTTGTTCGTACGAACAAATTATCTCGACACTACAGATAACACTTTAAACACACAACACTTAAAACAACTAGTGATCTCATAAAGAAACACTCCGAAAAATTAAATCTAGACGTAAAATCGATAATACCTACATGTGCTAAACCACCGAAGTTGTATGGGTTACCAAAAATACACAAGCCCAATGCTCCACTACGTCCTATAGTGAGCCAAATCGATTCACCAACTTACAGATTGGCTCAATACTTAGCGAATATACTCTCACCGCTCAAGGGACATACAAGAGCACACACAAAGGATTCCTACCAATTTGTCAGCGAGATTAAAGACCTACATCTGGCAGACAATGAAACTATGGTGAGTTTTGATGTGCAGTCTCTATTCACATGCCTACCTGTTGAAGACTGCATCTCGATTGTTACTAGAAGGCTAGAGGAAAACAACATGCCCGTAGAATATGCAGTATTACTCAGACACTGCCTTACATCTGGCTACCTATTGTGGAAGGAGGAGTTCTACAAGCAAGTAGATGGAGTGGCGATGGGCTCACCTGTATCTCCCATTGTCGCCGATATATTCATGGAGGACTTTGAGGAGAAAGCCCTGCTTACTTCTCCCATAAACCCAAGATTCTACAAGCGGTACGTAGACGACACTTTCACAATTCTACCTTTAGATAAAGTAACTGCATTTTTAGACCATCTTAACTCCTTAAATTCTAAAATTCAGTTCACAATGGAGTTAGAGGCAAACAATTCTTTAGCTTTTCTAGATGTATTAGTAATTCGGAATCCTGATAACACCTTGAGCCACACTGTGTATAGAAAAAAGACCCATACAGATAGATATTTAAACGGTGATTCTCACCACCATCCTTCACAGTTAGCTACCGTGGGTAAATCTTTGTTTCAGAGAGCACGAGGGATCTGTGACAGTAAACACCTGGCCGCCGAGCTCCAACACGTCAAGCAAGTTTTGCACGACAATAAGCTTCGGGTCCCGCGCCTACGTCACAGTGAACGAGTGAAGCCGGCCACAGTCGAGCGAGTGCCTGCTGTACTGCCATATGTCAGAGGTGTCACTGACAAGATTGGCTACATCTTGAAGCGTGCTTCCATTAAAACATATTTCAAGCCGCCGAAGAAGATTAGTCAGTTTTTACCATCACTCAAGTGTAATATTCCTCTGCAAGATGCAGGAGTGTACAAGCTGGATTGTGAATGTGGTCTCTCTTATATAGGACAAACTAAAAGATCCATAAAAACCCGCGTTAAAGAACACATAGCTGATGTGAAGAATAGACGCTCCGGGAAGTCTGCAGTCTGTGAACATGTACAGGATCGCCCCCGTCACTACATTAGATTTGATAGACCACAAATCCTCGCTAAAGAACACCGATTCCTTCCAAGGATGATTCGCGAGGCTATTGAAATCAAAAAACATCCTAATTTCAATAGAGAAGATGGCTGGGTGCTACCATCTGCTTGGGATCCCATAATTAATAAAATTAAATCCCAACCCAAGCATACAACTGCAAGACTTCATGATACTGTAAGTTCATACTGCGTAGATCGGAACAAAGATTAATAATTTTTAATCTGGAGGTAGCCGTGGTTAACTATGACATTGGGACGTCATACACCTCAGTCCCCCCCGTGACCAGGGGTGCTGTAAAGTGCTTGAAACGTCGGGAATGTAAAATAAGTTAATATACGCGATAAAATCCGTAAAATTAGCTTTGTATATTTCGGCGTATTATGTCGTGCCAGCGTAAGAGAACACATCACCCTATTTAGTTCCGTGGGTTAGTAAGTAGCGACTAAGGGAAATGTCAAAAAGACCTCGTGATCACCCATATAGGACAGATTTAGGCCCAGGCTAGCTACAGAGAGCAGCATCAGGGGTGCGTGACGTTGGTACTGCGGTCATAATCCCTCCTAAAATGGGGGGCCTCTATCTAGTACTGGACTGTTTCACGAGAAGTGGGGAGGGGAGGAAGAGTGAGAGATAGCGATAGGGAGAGAGGGAGGGAGGGAGGGAGGGAGGGAGGGAGGGAGGGAGAGGGAGAGAGAGAGAGAGAGAGAGGAAGCGTGACATTATCGCTTGGAAGTAAAATAGTCATTTGTCGTCCTTACATAACATAAAGAATGAATGTCACGGGCATACAATTCACTTATACATTAATAAATAAGATAATAATATATCAATATTAATATGAACCTTAACAGATCATCTTACGATTCAAAACGTTTCTATGCTTATTTTATTTGGTGTTTTCCAAATGACATTGCTTATCGCAAATGGGCAAACGCAACTAAACTATGTTTAATATTTAAAGTTATTATAGATTTTCTATTTCTAATGATTTATATTTAAATTGAAATATGAGGAGGGGAGGGGCAAATATTAGTGGATTTTGCAAGTCTTAAGTGCTATAAACTTACTTAACCTAGAATACTCTTAGATCTGTGACGGAAACATGCAAATTGCTGTAATCGCCGAACATCTGCCAAGTATGGCGATAACGCTAAATCGCCTAATTTGTAAGGCTTAAGTCCAGCAGTGGACTGTTTAAGGTACGATGATGAAGCGATGGCCGTGTGTCATGTTAGTAAGGAAATAAAAGCATGAAACTTACAAGAAGAATAGCGTTCGCTGGATACAACAGTGGAAGTCGGTTGCGCCGCTCTGAAAAAGCCATGCGTAGCAAACAAACAAGCACGTGGATCAAGCAGTGCAAAAGAAAATGTGTTGTGAAGCTTTTAGTACAAGCTTAAGGTGCGGTTACACTTGAGCTTTAGGCGTAGGTAAATTAAACAGCCCGTCTATTCTATAGACAATATGTTTAAAAGTATTGCGTTTAAGTTTTGATAAGCTATAGTACTCTATATTATTCTTAACGGTTTTATTAAACAAAAAAAAAATCCGAGTCTCTAGTTCTTCCTTAGATTGAGCTAAACTATCCAATTGGAACTGTTATCACATTGATTATAAAAAATCCTTTTTACAACTCATACCATTCTTATATTTTATCTGCTTTATTATATTATATTATATTAATTTACAATAAAACGTCTAACATAACAAATTAAATCATCACTAACATCCATTAAATACTGAAAACAAAAACATGCTTTATTGCTATTTACCGCGATAATGAACATTACGCCCAAGTGTAATAGCACCCTAATAAAAAACTTAAGTCTAGATTACACCAAATGATTGTGCAGCACGTGCGCATAGCAAGTTGAAATAGTACACAACACAATATTAATATATGAATATATGTAGAAGTCATTACGTTTTATGAAAACAGCAGGGTTAACCAAGATGATATTCTATGATAGTTAACGCTTTTCTTCTTTTCCTGCCAGCAGGGTGTCGCCACTTAAAAGTGAGGTATAATATTTGACAGATATCATAGCGGGGAAATTAATTTGTTCGGAAAATGTTAAGCTTAATGTTTCTTTCTGTGGTATTAGATATATTTTATATTATTAAAATAAATAAACCAAACCACAGATATTCATAAAAGTAGAAACATTTAAAAAAAAGTTAAAAATATGGAAAAATTAAAGAGCAAACCACTGAGGCATTGTTTTCTGTAATAACGGCTGCGTGGCGCAGTGGCTTAGCGATCAGTTGTTGCGCTGGGGGCCGCGGGTTCGAATCCTGCACGGAACAAGTATTTGTATGGCCTACAAATAATTGTTCCGGGTCTGGATGTTTGTCCTTGTGCAATTTATGTTTGTAAACTGCCTCCACGACACAGGAGAAAATCCTAGTGTGGGGGTAACATTTTTAAAAAAAGAAAAAAATAATCAACCGACGGAGAAGTCCTAAGTGGCAGCCTCGTACCGATAAGTTAAGTGTGGAGCGGCATCCCACTAGATGGAGTGACGACTTGGTAAGACATGCGGGAAGTCGATGGATGTAGGAGGCTCAGGACCGTGTTTTGTCGCATTTTTGGGGGAGGCCTATGTTCGGCAGTGGATTTGTGAAGGGCTGTAATGATGATGATGATGATGACGTGTTAAAATCCAACTTAGTTTCATTTAAATCTGAATGGCAAGTCACGTGACTGCCAGATGCAAGGTTAGTTTTCTATAACGTTAATTATCGTGGCATATAATCTTGGCTAATCCCGCTGGTGCCGCAACGCACACGTCACGCGTACTTGCTGTTTAACCAATCCACTTGAACTTAAAGATGAAGCTGTTGGCCATAAATCGTTATCTTAAACAGTCATTTTATGGAATAGGGGCAAAAATTTCTTAATTATTTAAACTAGCTTGCAAGTATCCAAAATATCTATGATAGCCATGGTGTACCAATGTACAACTTAAACTGCATAGAATTTGATTTATCTTACATAAACGTAGTTACGCCAAAAGGATGTAACCCATAAAAAACTAGTCTTTCAAGTTTGAATTAGTTTGAAATAGAAATGTCGGATTAGTCTAATATATAAAAAAATATGTTTGTTTGTTAGGTAGTATTTTATACCGTTTCGTTCATCAGACTGCTGTAAAACTTTGTCAACTTAATGCTTGCTCTTGTGTCGAATGTTATAAGCATAATACAATTAACTTACAGTAGGTGGCGCGCATATCGTACCGACAAATTTATTTGAAAGTTCAGGTTCATTTTTAATTTACTAAAGACATTTTGGGAATATATTAGGTGCACCATTACAAAAATTTTTAGCGAGATCACTCTTTAAAGAATATAATACAATACGAAGAAACTACTTTTATTTTTTTGTTGTCATGTCTGACTCCTTTTAAATCTGTATTTTGTAGTACCTAAACAATTTCAGAATAAATCGTCAAAGAAAATGCCTTTTTTATTCACGGCAGGCTTCATTAACGTTATCATTGCAAATTGCTAAAATTCGCACCATTTTGGTATACTCAACATTTGAGTATCGGTAAGCCATCGAAATAAGATAACGTTCAGTATTAATCTCACAACGGAAGGAGAAACGTCGCGGGCGCATCAAAGGCGACTGACGACACAGGTAATTAGGTACGTTTCCGTCACGTAGTACACCTATACCGGGTAGTATTTCACGCCTCAACGCGAAGCGTTATTAAATAGTGTATTACTATCGACATGTCAAGTTCGTGCAATTTTGTGGTCTAAAATGCCTCTATCATAACCATATTGCACTTATACGATAGTACGAGTAGCTGTATATCAAGAAAACACTGTAATTAATCCATCTTATATTTTTGAAGTTCTACTTCATTTGGGGCGTTTGGGAAAAATTATGAGAGTCAATTTTTACGATGCACGCGCACACCGACAGCTAAAAACGACACCAGGAAGTTGTTACGATGCGCGCGCACACTGACACCTAAAAGCGACAACTTCAGTGGGTAACTGTCTCTCAAGTTTTATTGTTTTGTTATACTAAAGAAGTATAACTTCCTACGTGAGTACATAAGTACACATCCACGTTTTTTAAAAATCATTTTATATTGCTACTTTGATAAGAACCGTTTTTTTTTATTAGCTTCAGGCTGTGCCAATATTTCTCGGGAAAACGTCGCCGAGTACCGGGACAAACTTGTATCTGAAGTCAAGACTTTGCTGAACAAAGTCTCGGATTGGGGGCGACTAAATCTAGTCCAGTTCAAGTCCCATAAGACACAAGTTTGCGCGTTTACCGCTAAAAAAACACCTTTGTCGTATCTCCTCAGTTTCAAGGCACTCTCCTTCTTGCCTCATATCGAATAGTGTGCAGTTTCATGATCACTTCGAAGGGAAGGCCAAATTGCCCTCTAAAAAGCTTAGCGTGCTCAGCAGAGAAAGACAGTATTTCATGCCGGCACATCGCTTGCATCTTTACTAAGTGCAAGTTCGGCCTCACATGGAATACTGTTCTCATCTCTGGTGCCGGGGGCACCCTAGTGCCAGCTCCTTCTACTTGACCACATCCAGCGCAAAGCGGTTCGAATCGTCGACGACCGAGTTCTTTCTGATCGGCTCGATACACTGGCACTGCGTAGAGATGTTGCGTTGCATCTCTTTGCGTATTTTATTGCATCTATCACGGGGAGTGCTCTGAGGAATTGTTCGGACTAATTACAGCCGCTCAATTTCAACATCGCACATCGCGACAAAACTCGCGTTACCATCCATACCACCTGGATGATTGGCGGTCCACCAAAGTTTTCTCCCTCGCACAACTTCCTTGTGGAATCGATTACCACCAGCGATTTTTCCGGACCGATACGACTTAGGAATCTTCAAGAAAAGATCTTACATTTTTCTAAAAGGCCGGCAACGCATCTGCAATCGGGTGCATCATGCTCGTTTGCCCCCTATTCTATAAAAAATAATTACATCAACTGGTTCCCTATTTCATATCAATAGCATAGTACACGTCGTTTGTTAATGAAATGATTTCCAACTTTTATAAGTTTTATTGCTATTAAGGGCTAAAGAAAAAAATTTAAAGGCACTTTCATTTTTTTCTTTAGCCCTCGAAAGGACAAATTTACCATACAGCCTAAATCGCTTTTATACTTTGTATAATCGATTTATTTTGGTAATTTATTGTTTTCATTAAAACTAAATGAAACGCTCATGAGGCGGGCACTTTCCGATTTTCCAAACAATTTTTTTTTTTATTTTTTTTTTATTTAATAATTATGACAGGTTTCAAATTGGTTGTAATCTAGTTTTATCGACGTGAGTGACCAAACTGTTTTAACCATACAAAATATAGACATAGGATTAAATTTTTACTAGGTGGTGGTGGTGGTAGGAGAATTATTTTCTGGCTGTGAGGCATTGAGGTGACAACGCATTTGTAGCCTACATTATTTAAAGTTGGTTGCTGGTGTCCAACTGACTTACCGTCAGTTGTACTGTAAATTCGTTAGTCACTTCAGTTATATAAAAATAAAATTGGCATATCTAATAATTTATTTTACAAAAGAGTGTGAGATGCATCCTTTTTGCGTAATTACATTTTTTTTGTTATAGACATTGTATTTTCATTAAATCTCTTACCGTACTGTGTAGTGAAGGTGTAAGAATATCCACTACCCAATATCATCCCGTGGGTGTCGTAAAGGGCGACAGAGGGAAACAAATCAGGAGATGGGCAGCAGCGTCCTTTTTTTTTATAGGATAGGGTGACAAACGACACACAGTCCACCTGATGGTAAGTGGTTGCTGTGGCCCATAGGCATCTACATTTATCCTCGTTTGCGAATCAACACCCATCTATTCGTCATTTCATTCTATCTTAGTCACCCGTGAGGACTAAGATAGAATGATTCTCTACACTCACCATACGAAACACAGCAGCGTTAAGCTGCTATTTAACGCTGGTATTCTGTGAGAGCGTGGTCCTTCCCCGGTCGAGCCGACCCATTCGTGCTACAACTATACTACTAATATAGCTGCAGCATGGCTCTACCACGTTTAAAAGTCTTCCTAATAACGACTAAAAATTAAAAACTGCAGTTGCCAACTCGCTAGCCAAGCGTGGCAACTATGGCAAATGGCCCCCCATGAGGCAATCTATGGGGAAGGCCTAGTTAAGCTAAGCGTGAGGCTGTCACATGCCACAGTTAGATTCATGAGGCTTTTAGGGGCATGTTCCGCTGTATGTATTAGTTCATGGTATATATGTAAAGAACAAATATTAAAAAAAATTACAAAACATGTCTGTGTTAAAATATGTCGTTTCTAGAACCATCTTTAGAAAAAAAGTTATTTGCGTGCGAATGTAATGTTACATTATAAAATATTGTTTAAAAATTCCAAAAAAAAAACACATTATAACAACAACTAAAAATATGTTTTCTTTTTGTAATTATAATATGTCAAATATAAATATTGTGCAGTTTATTATTTACAATGCAATAAAATGAAAATCCCATATAATAAAGCTATAAGACTAATGTTTAAAATAGTATAAAAATTCTTACGCAGAAGTCAAAATCGGTGTGCTGTAAACACACTTTGTGCTTGATGTTGTTGCAACTGGCAACAACGGCTGATTGATCAGGAATTGACTCCGGATATTGTAAATATTTTCCAGCATCCATGTGTTGGTATTATTTCTTGGTACATATACTGGGTTATTGAGTACTGGAAAATAACAGATTTGATGTTCTTTTAGCCAATTTGAAAGAGTGTTGCCAGGAATATCAGTTTATACATAAGGTATGTGTGGGTAATATGAACACCTTAAGCTTTAAAAAAAAAACTAGATATAAAACCAAAATTAGGAGGAGGACAGAGACAAAAACACAAAGTCATATACTGTAACTAATATATTAAGAAAAAATAGCAAACAAGCTTTGGTAATAAATAGGAACACTTCGCAACTACATCGCGATCCTCCCCGGCTTCGCACGGGTGATTTCTGGATCTCGACAACTGCGCCACCGACCGGGTCTAATTGTGAATCATACACAAAATTTTATTAAAATCTGTCCAGCCGTTTAGGAGGAGTTCAGACATACACGCGCACAGAAAAATTATACATCTAAATGCATGTATTATATACATAATATAAACCTTCCTCTTGAATCATTCTGTCTATTGATGAAAACTGTATAAAAATCCGTTGCGTAGGTACCTAGATTAAAAGATCTAAGCGTACAGACGGCGGGTTGGTTTATACTATACTAGCTGTGCCTCGCGGTTTCACCCGCGTCATCACGTGTCCGAGGTGCGCGACATGACCTAGTTCAAGCATTTTATAACGGCTAGTGTTTAAGCGTAGTTCGCGCGCCCCGCCAAGTATTCAATTATTTTAATTTTACATTATCTCTTACACTATGTGTCCCAATAACATGGTATAAAGAACAAAATTTATCTTCATAAAATTGTCTTGATGATGAAGTAACTTTCGATCGTAAGGATAAATAGGCCATGCCTAATAATAACGCTCATAAATCACTTTTAAATTTTCAATATTTTTTTTGTCACAAAATACCAAATTATGGCTTACGTATAAGAAATAGACATATGGTATCGCGGACTTTTTTTTAGATGGAGTAAAGGTCCATATTTTTCTAGAACATTGTATTTACGTATCCCTAACGATAACACCAGCGTACGCGGATAAATCATTTCGGGAGTGCTTTTTCTTCTGACTTGCTTAACAAATATCCATATTTAAGGCTAGCTGAGTAATATAGCTTAATGCTAGATAGCCTATACTATTCCACATGAATCTGGCTATAATATACAAAAATAATTTTTCAAATCGCACTGGTAGTTCCAGAGATTAGCGCGTTTAAACAAACAAAAAACTCTTCCGCTTTATTATATTAGTATAGATTGACTGATGAAGGGCTATCGTATCACAGAGCCTTCTATGCAAACAAGGCTGTCGTTTTTGAGTTATAAGAAAGTGACCATATTACCTCACATACTATATTATATATAAATTAACACGTAATACAAATGCTTACAAATAATAACAGACATTTATTTACGGTTTATTACTATTAACTTACTTTATGGTGCTATAAAGGTCATAATGCCTTTTGACATCTTTTGCCAAAATACTCAAATGCTACTCAATTTTAAGATGTCGTTAAGTATTGTGGTGTCACAGTCACTTTGACTTAAGAGAGACAGAGACAGCATGAGGCTTAACGGTATGTGAAAATTAAGCAAAGTTTTTGGCCATTTTGGGTATTTGGGCATTTATGAGTCAATCACAGGCCTGGTAAAATTTTATATTGTATTTCACAGAAATTTAAAAAATTATAGATATATAATATAATTATAAATAAGATGCAAAAATATTTTTTTATATAGAATAAGAGGGACAAAGGAGTGGATGTTGTGACTCATAGATTCTTACATCTATACTCGATTAAATATCAAAATTATAATTTTTGTCACCCCTGAGGACCATGATAGAATGCCTCAGTAACCTTGTCCAGTAGTTGACGTTTACGGGCTGACACAAAAAGAACCTTTTTTTTATAGAATAAGTGTAACCAACAAGCACACAGTCCAGCTGATGATGAGTGGATGCTGTAGGAAATAAACACATATTCACATCTATATTTATACTCGATTAAGAATCAAAATGCAGATGTGTTGTCACCCGTGGGGACAAAAATCGAAAGCCTCTTTTCCAGTACAAAGGGTCTTTGATTCTCTACACTCACCATAAACTCACGAAACAGCAGCATTATGCTGCTATTTTATGCTAGTATTCTATATGTGAGCTCGGTCCTACCCCGATCAAGCCGACCCATTCTTTCTACAACCATAATATAGCTGCGGCGTGGCTCTACTACATTTTAAACCTCAAGGATATTGTGTTCATATATAAAAATATTGGTTAATTGAATAAGAATATAAAACATACTTCTGTCGGATTCATTGCTAACTTGAACATGCAAAGGTTGTGTGACATCCTTGAACTTTGTGAAGACCTCATTAATTTTGGGCAATGTCTGATTTTCCACAATCTGCTCCCTGTTGCCTAAAAACTGATTACACCTCACTTGTTCCGCCCTAATTTTTTTATGATAATACACTGAATGCATATCATCAGACACATCCTTTTCAATAACATTCTGCTTGTTGTTCAATAGTTCTAAATTTTGCGCTACATTTTCCTGATTGTCTAGATTAGTTGGATAAGGTAGTTGCAAAAAGTTATTGTTAATATTTGTATCTGCTAAAACAAACTCCATTAAATTTGTACTAGCAAGATTTTGAGCATCAATCTTGCAATTGATTACATCTTGTAGATTAATTTCAGGGGTACGCATGTTTAGTATGTCGTAATTTTCTGTAAACGTTGAGCGTCTTTGTATTAATGCATGTATTCTCGCCATTTTCCCGTCTCTGCCTCGTAAGCCAACACTCTGCAGGTAATCACATCTGTTTGTTGTTTCTTCATGAACTAAAGGATAAATCCCGCTAATTGATCTTTGTCTCTTAGCTGGTGGAGAAGTATTCTGAAAGCAATACGTATCATTGAAACAACAGTAGCCTCATAGTCCATATGTATATGAGAGTGACATTTTATACGCAAAATTACAAGCCATATACTTTCTCCGTTATAAACTATTTTTATTATAATAGTTAATTCTTAAAGAGCTTTTTAAATCCACCGTTGAACATAATCTTCATGATTTTTTTTTATAGAATAAGGAGGACAAACGAGCATACAGTCCACCTGATGGTAAGTGGATGCTGTGGCCCATAGACACCAATTTTTTTTCTCGATTAAAAATGCAGATGCATTGTCACTCCTGAGGAATAAGATTTATTTATTTTATTTATTTATTTCTGAAACTTACAACTATCATTACAGGATTACCTAATGCGATAGTGTAGCTGTCTAACTAATTTGTCTTCATGCTTTAATTTTTGTAACAAATTACAAGCAATGCTATCTTTGTGAATTCACTCAGAGTACAACAGAATAGGTCCGTCTCACTAGCTATTAAGTTGAGCGTATGGAGTGCGCGCGTCAGAGGCGCCTTACTCAGAAGGTTGGTTCGAGCGCGCGGCTCCACCAACAGTCGCGGCTGCCGTCGGCGCCACACATACCTCTCAGGAACATATAGGTTTAATTGCCCTAACATTTCAGCGTTATGCAATTTTCCTCTGAGTACTTTAAAAATATACGAGGTGAGCGCAAGTTCCCTTCTAACTCTTAGTTCATTATATCCTACCATACCTAAGATAAACAAAGTTGGATACATTAGAGGATAAAATGGGTATACACCATAATAACGCATATATAAATATCTAATAAATTTATTCTGTACTCGCTCTAGCATGAGACTATACTTAGTTTCATGCGGAGCCCAGACGACTGCATTACATTCAAGTTGACTCCGTACCAATGTATTATACAAGGCGACTATCGCTCTTATGTTTGTGAATCCTCGGACCGTACGAAGCATAAATCCTAGATTTCTATAAGCCTTTTTACAGATGTTTATGATGTGATCATGAAAAGTAAGCCCTGTATTAAAAGTTACTCCTAAATCTTTAACTTCTCTGACCCTTGTCATCGGCAGCCCGTCAATGTGATATTTATTTAAAATAGGAGTGTGCGCACGAGAAAAACTAATTAACACACACTTAGAGCTGTTAAATTGCAAAAGATTTTCTTTGCTCCAATTTACAACCCTGTCTATGTCTCTTTGTAGAATAGCACAGTCGTGCCCATTTTTTACCGCAAGAGACAATTTAAGGTCGTCAGCAAACAATAAACACCTAGCGTCTTTCACCACTTCTGGTAGGTCGTTTATCATCATCAAGAACTCCAAAGGGCCAAGGTTACTGCCCTGACTTACCCCGGACCACGTGAAATATGGCTCTGACTGATGTCCCTCATATTCCACATATTGCTGTCTATCGGACATGTAACTTGCAAAAAAGTGCAGTAAATGTGGGGTAGAACCAAAAACTGCTAGCTTTTTAAGCAACACGTTATGATCTACTAGGTCAAATGCTTTTTTAAAGTCAAAATAGGCTGCATCCGTCTGTACCCCCTTGTCTCCACTCGGTATCAAATGAGCCATCTGACAGAGAAGGTTACTAGTTGTACTCCTTCCTGGTCTAAACCCGTGTTGAGCGTCTGAGAGTTGTGCGCTCACCTGATGGAATATTGTCTTATGAATAGCAGCTTCAAATACTTTTGCCGGCGAAGACAACACTGCAACAGGCCTGTACCCATCCACTGATTCTGCTGAACCTCCTTTTGGAACCGGAACAACGCGGGTTACTTTCCACCTCTCCGGGAACACAGCGGCCTTAAGGCATTTGTTATATATATGCAATAGCGGCTTGGCTAGTACTGACCGACAATCCTTAAAGATATAAGGCGGAATGCCGTCAGGTCCTGCAGACCGTTTGGGCTTAAGTTCTTTAAGCGCATGACATACGTCTGCCAATTGTAATTGGTCCAAGTGTACCCGCGCCGCTCCGTTTCCACTACCTGCTCCTACTATAGCAGAAGTCACATCCAACTCCGGCCGCTCTGTACTATAAATAGAATAAAAATACTCTGCGAATTCGTCCACACACTGCTGACCAGACAACGCTTCTCCGTCTTTCAAAATCAATTGTGGGCTCCTCTTACGTCTTTTGGATTTAACAAAATTCCAAAAAGATTTTGGATCTTTCAACATTTGATTTTGAACACGTTGTTGATATTGTTCCTGTGCGAGTCCTATCATATTCTTCACATTAGCCCTACACCGAGCAAACGCGTCATAATCACTTCTCGATCTACTGGCCTTGTACCGTTTATGCAGTAAAGCCTTCAATTTTATGTTGCGAATTATTTCAACAGTGTACCACTCCGGGTAAATGTACCTTGAGTTTACACGACTTCGCTTTTTTTTCGGAACACAGTCATCCATAGCAGAATTGATAATTTTATAAAAATATTTTAAGCTCCTTTCCAAGTCTAACTCATATATAGGAGTCCAATCTGCTGCCGCAATTAAGGAATATAATGACAAAAAGTCGGCTTTATTAAAGTTCCAACCTAGTGGTGCGAATGTGTTAATTTCTGGTGCAGCTGTGTCTGCTGAGTCGGAGTGCCGGCGCAGATGCGTATTTGTACTTACCGAGATCTCGAGTGGTGGGTGGTACGCGTCCACAGGCACGAGCGGTACCTCCGCCACGCGCACACTCACACTCCCTTTCTTTGCCAATGTACTCAACACTAGATCTAACTGACGATCATTGCAGTTACCTACTCTATTACTCTGAGTAAATCCACAAAAAGTTTGAAAGTATTCATAATAATTACTAACGGCTATAGAACACGAATACAAATTAAAATCCCCTAAAACTAATAATTCACTGTACTTCTCATAAAACTGTTCAATAATGTTAAACAATAAAAAATATTCATTATCACTGCTACCAGGCGGAATATATACAACACAAAGCAAGAATAAATATCTATTACGTATGTGTACCGTAGCACAAACCAGTTCAAACACTTGTTTATCGACGTTGATATTACTCGGTAATAATACTCTTCGCAGTTCGTAACGCGGCGTGGCCACGAGACACACGCCGCCTTGTTTACGTCCATCCGCTCGGTCACATCGTGTAATGGTGTATCCCGGTGGTATTATTTCTGCGTCATGGATGGATTCATTGCAACCTGTTTCCGTGATGGCAAACAAGTCTGCAGATGCAGTGGAAATATTTGTGTAGAAGTCTTTTAACTTTGTTCTGAGCCCACGCACATTTTGATACAATATCTCCATGGATTTATTGAGGGTTTTTTGGTTTGATGGTTGGCCTACGAAACCACACCCATTCCGAGAATTCTATATTTACTGCCCAGTTTTCTGGCTGACACAATTCATTATATTTGCTTTCCGGGACTCCTATAATAAAGGAGGCATAATCTCTTTCTGTCTTGTGTTTTATTTTTCTACCTTAACCGGTACTTCTTCTACATAAATTTTTTTAACATATTTTTCTATATTTTCTACTGTTGTTTCTTTTTGCAATCGCCATACATGTAAATATTTTTTCCTTTCTGTTCCCTGAATATCAATTGTACTTGTGTTTCCACCTTTCTTGACTTCAGTGTTTGAAAATCGTTTTTTATTCCTATTAACAGTAGTCCATTTTTCTTCCTTTTCTTGTTCTACCTTTTCCTTTTCTGTACTATCAATTTTCCTTAAACTCCTCTCACTATTTATTTCTTCTAATTTTTTCTCATTCGAAACTTTTTTCGCCGTTTTCATGGCCACACATTCCTTTGCTTGTACGTTATTTCTAATTACTTGGGCTTTTTCTTTAACAATTTTTGCAAAAGACTGAGACGGTCCTTTAGATCCTTGATCTGCCTGATTATATCTCTTGTCTTCACTTCTAATATTAAGTCTTGCTTCTAGATTCTCATTTCTTTCCAATAAGATTTTAATTCTTGTTTCTAACATATCCACTTTATTTGCCTTTTCTTGGACTACCTTCAATATTTGTTTTAATTCTTTTAACTCCGTTTCTGTTCTATCAAACTTAGTTATTAGTAATACATATTCTTTCCGTTGCTCCTCCAGCCGGGATTTCATTTCCCAGCGAAACTCCCGTATCTCGTCTAGAAGTTGGCTCTCATTATCAACTCCTTCACTTGGATTTCGCCGACTGCCGCGTTCAGTGTTTACGTAGCTGCTCGGCGTAAAATTGTTTTTCAACATTATGTTTCCTCGAACCGGCGTATCAGTATTATCCCTTTTCGGCATAGTACACGCACATTCAGGACATATCCACTGGTTCTTGTATTCCTGTGTGAAAGCTTCAACTTTCTCCTTTGTTAAGGCCAGACACTTCAGATGAAATTTTTTCTTGCATTTAACTTTTGAACATTCCATAAATAGTGAATCCACAACAACGGTATCACAACCGCTACATTTTGTATCCATTGCAATCTAACAATAATATTTTTTAATTTGTTTACATATACGATCCCTAACACGTCCGTTCGCCCGCGCGTCGGTTAGGTTAATTAATTTTGCCACAAAGCACGGTCCTGAGCCACCTGCATCCATCGACTTCCTGCGTATCTTACCAGGTCGTCACTCCATCTAGTGGGGGTCCGCCCTACACTTCGCCTGCCGGTACGAGGCTGCCACTCGAGAACCCTTCTCCCCCATCGGTTGTCGGTTCTTCGAGCTATATGGCCGGCCCATTGCCACTTCAGCTTACTAATCCGTTGGGCTATGTCGGTCACTCTGGTTCTACTGCGGATATCCTCATTTCTGAGTTTATCACGCAGAGAAACTCCGAGCATAGCCCTCTCCATAGCTCGCTGAGCGACCTTGAGCTTCCTCATCTGGCCAGCAGTGAAGGACCACGTCTCAGTTCCGTATGTTATCACTGGCAACACGCACTGGGTGTACAGTCTCGTTTTCAAGTTTTGAGGTATACCTGACGAGAAGATGTGCCGTAATTTCCCGAACGCTGCCCAACCGAGTTGAATCCGTCGATTGACCTCTCGGTCGAAGTTGGACTTACCTAGTCGAACTATTTGTCCCAGGTAAACATACTCGTCAACAACTTCGAGCTTAGTGTTCCCAACAACTACCGGCATAGGTGTGACATGGACATTAAACATGATCTTTGTTTTGTCCATGTTCATCTTAAGACCTATCCGTTGGGAAACACTATTTAGGTCATTGAGCATAGTGCTTAGGTCCTCCAGCGATTCTGCCATAAGGACTATATCGTCGGCAAATCGAAGGTGAGTGATGTACTCGCCATTGATGTTGATACCGTATCCTTTCCAGTCCAGAAGCTTGAAAACATCTTCCAATGCAGCGGTAAAGAGTTTCGGGGATATGACGTCACCCTGTCTTACACCTCTCTGCAATTGGATAGGTTTCGTACTCTGGTTCTGTACTCGGATAGCCATCGTAGCCCTACGTACAAGCACTTCAACACTTCGATATACCGACAGTCAACTTGGAATCGCTGAAGGGACTGCAGCACCGCCCAAATTTCGACGGAATCAAAGGCTTTCTCATAGTCCACATACGCGACATAGTGGCAAATTGTACTCCTCGGACTTCTGTTCAATTTGCCGAAGGGTATGTATGTGGTCTATGGTGCTAAAGCCTTTTCGGAAACCGGCTTGTTCGGGAGGCTGGAAGTCGTCAAGTCTGCGCGCCAGACGATTCGTAATAACTCTCGAAAACAGCACGTAGGCGCGGCTCAGAAGGGAAATCAGTCTGTAGTTCTTCAAGAGAGCGTTGTCGCCTTTCTTGAAGAACAAGACCACCGCACTTCTGCTCCACGCCTCCGGTGTAATGCCACCATGGAGGACGGAATTAAAGAGCTTCTGTAGGACTTCAAGTACCGGTTTTCCACCCGCTTTCAGAAGCTCCGCTGTAATTCCATCCTCGCCTGGGGCCTTGCCGTTTTAAGGTGCTGGATAGCCATTCTAATCTCGCTCAGACTGACGTCCGGGATATCATCGGAATAATGTCGGATAAGACCTATATTTTTTTATATTTAAGTACGAGGGTGGATTGAAAAGTACTCGGCCTAACCAAGAAAATAAACAAATACTAAATCAGTTATATTTTTATTTTTCTACATAATCACCATCAAGTTCAATACACTTTTGCCACCTCCCCTTCCAAGCATTTAGACCGTTGAAAAAAAAAAGATTCTTCCTTAGAGTCAAAATATGCGTCTACAGCTGCTTTGACCTCGTCGTTTGTCGAAAATCTTTGACCTCCCAAGTGCTTTTTTAGGTTAGGGAACAGAAAGAAGTCTGATGGTGCTAGATCAGGTGAATACGGCGGATGCGGTAACAGTTCAAAGCCACAGTTGTGAATTTCAGCCATTGACTGTACTGACGTGTGAACACGGGCGTTATCTTGATGAAACAGGACTTTTCTTCTGAGCATTCCTCGACGTTTTTCTTTTATTTCCTCTCGTAAACGACGTAGTAAGGTGCAGTAGTAATCAGAGTTTATATTCTGACCCCTTTCAAGATAATCAATCATAATCACACCTTTCGAGTCCCAGAATACTGAAGCCATCACCTTATTTGCCGACAAAATCGACTTAGCCTTTTTAGGGGGTGGTGAACCAGGTCTCCACTGTTTTGATTGTTGTTTTGTTTCCGGTGTACAGTAATGAACCCATGTTTCGTCCATAGTAACAAAACGATTCAAAAAATCATCTGCATCGGCTTCAAATAACTCCAAACAGTCGCGTGAAATAGTCAATCGCGTCCTTTTTTGTTCAACTGAAAGCAGTCGCGGAAACCACCTCGCAGACACCTTGTGGAAACCCAACTCGTTGACAATGATGTTTGGAGTTCGTTCATAAGAGATGCCTATAATCTCAGCTATCTCTCTAATTTTTAATCTGCGGTCTCCCATTATTAAATCAAGTACTTTTTTAATATTTTCGTCAGTAGTTGACGTCGAAGGCCTTCCAGAGCGGGGTTCATCTTTCACACTCTCTCTACCACGCTTAAATTCTGCTATCCATTTTTTGACGCATGAATATGACAGAGCACAATCGCCTAATGTACTGACCATGTCATCATGGATGGCTTTTGATGATAGCCCCTTCTTATGGAGGTACTTAATGACGGCACGCTGCTCGATTTGCTCCATTCGCGGAAATTATGTCCGATTACTTTGTTAATAAATTTATAAAATCACAACTAATTATCGCACACGTTTCGAACTTCATACAATGACTTAGTCTGAACTGAACTAAATAATGTGGCTAGATTTGATTTTTAGAATTGAATGGATCTGTGTTAGGCCGAGTACTTTTCAATCCACCCTCGTAAATTGAAATAATCTTCATACTTTTCATCGGCCTGTATAAGTTCACTGCCAGGGTTTTTCACATACTGTGACGATTTGCCTCAAATGTCACTCTTGGCAGAACTAGAAAATGGCAGTATCAGACGCACCTTAAACATTAGTTTTCAACTAGATGGTTATAGAGCTGTGGTAGACTATAGCCTCAGATGGTTAGCGCTCGCTGATAATTTTCACAGTACGCGAGCAACCCGGGTTCGATCCCCGCCGGCACCAATGAAATTGTTAAATGCAATTTTAAGTGGTGATTTACCACGCGATCAGCGGTGAAGTAAAACATCGTGAGGAAACTTGCACGTCTGAGAAATAAGAAAAAAAATATTTCGAAGACATGTGAAGTTCGCCAACACGCATTGGGGCAGAGCGGCGGACACTTCTTTACCCTAAAACCCTTTCAGAAATGAGGGGAGACCTGTGCCCAGGAGTGGGACGTATACAGGCTGTAACTTTAACTTTAGATGGTTATACTGCCATCTATTAGAAGCCATAAGATCTTTGTTGCATATCCCAAAGTTTAAGTCTTCCATAGTCAATCAATCAATCAGTCAATCAATAACCAAGGGACGTAATAAGGTAATGGATTCACTTACGCCGCACCACAATACTATCTTGAAACTTATTGGCGTTCATAAGATGAACCAACAGCTTACAGATTAGTAAGCTGAAGTGGTAATGGGCCGGCCATATAGCTCAAAGAACCAACAACTGATGAAGAAGAAAGTTTCTTGCAGCCTCGTACCGGTAAGCAAAGTGTAGGGCGATTAACTCTAGTTGGAGTAAAGACCTGGTAAGACAAGTTCATTGCTGAACATAGGCCTCCACCAAGACATTCCTTGGTGGAGGCTTATGTTCAGCAAATGACGTGGGAATAGCTGTCATGGTGATGATGGTGAATAAAACTTTATAATTGAAATCACACTTACCCCATTATATACAGGTACCAATTGTCTGCTTTCACAAGTCTTAACAGCGCTCAAAGTACTGGAACTTAGTATGCTCGGCCTGTGTTTTTTCACCAAACATTTTGCAGTCACATTAAATTTTGGGTAGTTTCCCTCACGACTCACGATTTCAATGCGAGTTTCTTTTGGATTGATTCTTTGCTGAGTTTTAATCATCCCAACTACGGTGTCATTTATGTTCAAAATGCCTGAATTTTTATTTAATCTTTTCAAATTAAAACTTCGTAACACTCTATCACTTCCGTTCGGTGCCTTCGGTGAAGGATATGTTCTATGTGGTATATGGGACAGACTTTGTTTCGGTTTGTATTTGATAACAGTTTGTCCCAGATCTGGACTGCAATGTAACAGCATGTTGCCAGGTCGCCTTGGCGTTGCCGTTATGGGTGGAGATGGTGTTCGTTTACTTAATGAATATATTTCTGCATTCTGTAATTCAGAAATGTTTATTAACTATTAATGAGAATATTAAACTAAAACATTTTTTTAATAGGATAAGGGTGACAAGCGAGCACACAGTCCACCTAATGGTAAGTGGTTGCTGTGGCCCATAGACATCTACATCTATTCTCGTTTGCAAATTAAAATGCAGGTGCGTTGTGAGCCGTGAGGACTAAGATGGAATGCCTCTTTTCCAGTAAAAAGGGCCTTCGGTTCTCTACATATGAAACACAGAAGCATTAAGCTGCTATTTTACACAGGTATTCTGTGAGAGTGTGGTCCTTCCCCGGTTGAGCTGACCCATTCGTGCTACAACTTTACAATTAATATAGCTGCAGCTTGGCTCTACCACGTTTGATACTTAACAGAAATAATGTAATTTCTCAGGCATCCCAATATGAATATATGAGTACAAATCATAATACACAAATTGGCTTTTTATAATTTTCTTTTTCTTTTTTAAGAAATCAAGTAGTTATTACTGACATAAATCATAGGCATACTATAGATCTATCTGTAGAATCTGTGTGTGGGTGTAGCAATAAAATAATACCATTAGTATGAATGTGTGATAAATGCACTATAGAGAATTTCAATTTGAACTCGTACATCTTTGCTTGACAGCCCATTTATTTGACTTAATAGTTCCCTCATCAATTTTACAATATTCCTAATAAAAATAAATTACGTGATTCGTCATTTGTGATAGTCCATATTGCATACATTTAGCATTTTTAACTAATCTGCCTATAGTGTAACATTACCCTTAGTCCTTAGTCCATTACCTTCAATTTAGCTTTGTTGCTTCTCTTTCTAACCTGTGCCATACTATGTTGCTCTCGCTCCAATTTAACTCGTTGCACAATGCTCTTCACCTCACTTGCCGAACTGAATTTTTTGGCCCATATGAGTTCAATCAGGTATATCTTCTATAAAACAATATAAAACACTAATTGTGAATGAATTGAACTGTTTCAGCATATCACAATTTCTACATTTTGTGTTTAAGCTTTGTTAAAGTATATGCTTAATCACTACATTGGTTACTAATATGACAGTGTATATATATTTTTTTAACAGAATACCATCCATCCATACATTTATTATAGCCTATAAAAGTCCACTGCTGAACATAGGCCTCCCCCATAGATTGCCTCTTAGAGGGGATTTTGCCATAATTGCCATGCTTGGCATGCGGAATGGCAACCGCAGTTTTTTATTACTTTAAGTTGTTATTAGGAAGATGCCTCATCATCTCCTGTTTCAGTTTTACTCTGTTGCTTCATATGACACCAACGGAACAATATGAGGAAGTGGATATTCTTACGCTGCCACTACACGGTCTACCTATACCAATAATGGAATACCAATTCAATTTAATTGTTAAAATTGACCGAGGATACCTGTGGAATACCTGACATTTATTAAGACAGTAGACATAAAAACATGTCTGATTAACTAAATTTAATTTCTATCAATATTTTATTAACAAAAGCGACCTACAGTAAATAAATGTTTGTTAAAAGAGCCATGTCCTGTAATAGCACTTGTAGCTATCCTAATCTATGGCTTGTTCAATCTCATTTAGGCCTTGGTTAAACGGTTTTTATTTCTGGAAGGGCCTCCCTAGCTGCCTACAGTCTTCTAGATTTTTCATGTTTATTAAGAAATTCATACTGTTCAGCTGCTTCAAAGAGGGAGATGTCTGGTACTGCAATTGTACTTAGTACATATGTCTATCAAGCATGACAGACATAAGGTAAATCCAAGCTACAACAGTTGAGCCCAATGTACACAAGTTGACTTGACATGTGTTATTCATTCATTCCTAGTGACCCAGGTCATTCGCACATGGTATACCAGACTCTCTCGAAAGAATAGAATAGAATAATTTGAGTAATTTTTTACATTACCACTGGTTCGAAAATAACCCTCTGTCCTGGGAAGAAACCCAGTGGGACTTTTTATAGGGAGGATTTTATTCAGCGGTGGACTTTTAATAGATTGTAATGAATCAATTAATCCTGGTTTAATTCCGTCTATCATCTCTTACGATACCTATAGGACAATATAACTAGAGATGGGCAGCAGCATCCAGAGCAGCATATTCTTTACACTGGCATTAGACAGTCAATTCATAACAATTAAGTAATAGAAATTAAAACCAGATTAATTTTATGTTGTGATTTTATCATAATGTGTAATGAAAGGTTAGCTAGCTTATTATAAAAAAAAAGTAGAACTCAGATTGTTTACTCATCTTATTTTGGTAATTACATTTTTATAAGATTATATTTTCCTACTTATTAACTTAATTTATTTAAATAAATGGTTATAAGAATTTTACCTTAACATTACAAGGAAGCTTCATTGATTTCGCTAGTTGCTGCAAATATCTGTATGAACATTCTTCTAAAGTTTTCTTGGAATATGTTCCTTCATCTTCCATGATTATAGATAGTTTTCAGAAAACTTTTAATTAATAAAATTTCTTAGGATGAAAAGCACGTGCGTCTTGAAGTCATAATCGAGAAAATAAAATGATACCCGCTTGCGTAAAATTAACAACGAATTATTTAACAAATACCTGAAACTTGAAAATAGGTATACTATTAAAAAAGTATGTTTTATTGTACATAAAGTTTAATAATAAAAACGTTTTAAATAGCTATGCACTCTGTGATTGTGATTCTAAATTCAAAAATGTGCAGTGTGTATTACGTTATAAATCACAACCAATCACAACATTATAATTTCCGTCAACAGCAAATCAGTTTTGTTTTGAGTCAATATACAATATCAGCAAAGTAAACAAACACATTCAAAAATACTAATTCTTCAGTTAAAAATTAAAAACATACTCTTTGCACTACGATTTTAGATTTGTTTTGGAATATCGTAAAGTAGATTGACGTAAAGAATATTATAGATTATGGAGTGTAGAGTAGAAGGAGAACCATCTCTGTATATGAAAAGTGTCCCTAAAAACGCGTCCAATAAGGGTGGCGCTGCAGTAGCATAGGATAAATTAAAAAAAGCGCCAAAATTAATTAAAATAAGATGGCGAAATAAACAAGGACCGACCAATCCGCTTGGTTTTGTACTACGTAAATAGTTGAGGTTTTGTATACTGGCATTTTACTAACTACTCTAGTCATAAATTTTTTTAAATATTTGAATTCAGCTGACTTCACTCCGTCTACAACAGCTATATTCATATCGTAGTTTTTCATTCGCCAGCGCTATTGTGGTAGGTTTTGGAACATCTATTTTCAGTATATAGTAGGAGACTTTTTCAACTTTCGCAACTTATAACATGGTTCTCCTTCTACTCTACACTCCATATTATACGAGTAGATGCAACTTTTTTTTTTGGAGTTTATGGCCTGGTATCTAGGCTTTAGGCCAAGTCTTGAGTATTTTAATTCGGTTTATTATAATTTCCCCACTGTATTTTTGATGAATTTATATAGAGGCCCGTAATAGGATCTATTTTTTAACATATCACTCAGGCGGCGGGAGGGATCTTGCACTGTCACTTGATTTTGCACTATGTCACTAATTTCACTGACAAGAATCAATCTGTCAAATGAAAAGCATTCACATATAAATATGAAATGTTCGATATCACCAACAGAATTATTGCAGAAGGTGCAGTAGCTGCTCTCCACTATGCCCAACCGAGACAGGTGGGCCGGGACGGTGGAGTGACCAAAACGCAGTCTGTTTATAGTCGTAATAAAGTCCCGATTAGCCATTTTCAGTTTGTTATACCATGGTGCTACAGGTAGGTTTTCTTGAACATTTCCATATAATTTACACTTCTGTTCTTGGTCTTGTTTCCAAAATTCGACCCATAAACTATTGATCTGGTTGTCAATAGATTGACAACAGTCGGCCAAGATACTTTTACTATGGAGCTAACATCCAACATGTTGGTTCCATCACGTGCAATTTTATCTACTATCTCATTTCCTGTTATGCCCCTATAGATGCAACTTCTTGAATGTAGCCACAGACTAGTCTTGCTGAGACTAGCCTGCTCGGTCATTTCAAAGATCGCTCCGTACTATTTCATTTTACGGACAGTGAACTAGTTTGTTCCATTAGCTCTATTAGCTATATTCGGTAATCAGTAGGTACTACAAAGCAGTTAAAACTGTATCTATCTGTAAAAATCTTTATGGAATGGTTGTCTCAGCCAGTGAGTATCAGTCTCAGTCGTTCAATATCTGCTAGAATCGTAATGTTCTATTATTACTCGTACACAAACACACTTGATAATTTCTTGGTAAAAATAAAAGTCTAAAGCAAATTAGTGTTGAAAAAATAACGTCATCATTACATCATCATTACAGCCCTTCACAAGTCCTCTGCTGAACATAGGCCTCCCCCAAAGAACGCCACAAAGCACGGTCCCGAGCCACCTGCATCCATCGACTTCCTGCATATCTTACCAGGTCGTCACTCCATCTAGTAGGGGGACGCCCTACACTTCGCCTGCCGGTACGAGGCTGCCACTCGAGAACCTTTCTTCCCCATTGGTTGTCGGCTCTTCGAGCCATATGGCCGGCCCATTGCCACTTCAGCTTACTAATCCGTTGGGCTATGTCGGTCACTCTGGTTCTACTGCGGATATCCTCATTTCTGAGTTTATCACGCAGAGAAACTCCGAGCATAGCCCTCTCCATAGCTCGCTGAGCGACCTTGAGCTTCCTCATCCGGCCAGCAGTGAAGGACCACGTCTCAGTTCCGTATGTCGTCACTGGCAACACGCACTGGGTGTACAGTCTCGTTTTCAAGTTTTGAGGTATACCTGACGAGAAGATGTGCCGTAATTTCCCGAACGCTGCCCAACCGAGTTGAATCCGTCGATTGACATCTCGGACGAAGTTGGATTTACCTAGTCGGACTATTTGTCCCAGGTAAACATACTCGTCAACAACTTCGAGCTTAGTGTTCCCAACAACTACCGGCATAGGTGTGACATGGACATTAAACATGATCTTTGTTTTGTCCATGTTCATCTTAAGACCTATCCGTTGGGAAACACTATTGAGGTCATTGAGCATAGTGCTTAGGTCCTGCAGCAATTCTGCCATAAGGACTATATCGTCGGCAAATCGAAGGTGAGTGATGTACTCGCCATTGATGTTGATACCGTATCCTTTCCAGTCCAGAAGCTTGAAAACGTCTTACAATGCAGCGGTAAAGAGTTTCGGGGATATGACGTCACCCTATCTTACACCTCTCTGCAATTGGATAGGTTTCGTACTCTGGTTCTGTACTCGGATAGCTATCGTAACCCTACTGTACAAGCACTTCAACACTTCGATATACCGACAGTCAACTTGGCATCGCTGAAGGGACTGCAACACCGCCCAAATTTCGACGGAATCAAAGGCTTTATCATAGTCCACATACGCCAGATATAGTGGCAAATTGTACTCCTCGGACTTCTGTACAATTTGCCGAAGGGTATGTATGTGGTCTATGGTGCTAAAGCCTTTGCGTAAATCGGCTTGTTCGGGAGGCTGGAAGTCGTCAAGTCTGCGCGCGAGACGATTCGTAATGACTCTCGAAAACAGCACGTAGACTCGGCTCAGAAGGGAAATCAGTCTGTAGTTCTTCAAGAGAGCGTTGTCGCCTTTCTTGAAGAACAAGACCACCGCACTTCTGCTCCACGCCTCCGGTGTAATGCCACCATGGAGGACGGAATTAAAGAACTTCTGAAGGACTTCAAGTACCGGTTTTCCACCTGCTGTCAGAAGCTCCGCTGTAATTCCATCCTCGCCTGGGGCCTTGCCGTTTTTAAGGTGCTGGAGAGCCATTCTAATCTCGCTCAGACTGACGTCCGGGATATCATCGGAATAATGTCGGATAAGACTCGCTCTTGGATCGTTACTTACACTTGCGTGTGGCTCCAACGATGACGTGTACAGCTGCCCATAGAACCTCTCAATCTCACTTAAAATCTTAGGTGCCCCGGAAACGATGCTGCCACATTCGGTCTTCAGCTTTGACAGTTGGCTCTTTCTGGCAGACAGATCTCTGGCAAAGACTTTGGAGCCTTGGTTCCGCTCGATCGCTTCTTCAATACGAGCTGTATTGAAGTTGCGTAAGTCCCGCCGCATGCATTTGGAGATCTGTCTGTTCAGTTGCCTGTATGCTGTCAAATCTGTTGAAGAATGTAACTTCATCTCCCGTCTAACAGCCATGAGATTAAGAGTGTGATCGGAGAGTTTTTGTGTTCTTCTGCGGCGGGTCTTGCAGAACTTAGCTCCGACCGCATGGACAGTTTCCACGAGCTTGTCATTCAAATCGTCCACTTCATTGCAGTCTTCTAGGCACTGAAAACGGTTTTGTAACTCGAGCTGAAAGGTTTCGGGACTTTGGATTAGAGCACGAGGGGGACGGGAAAAAATAACGTAAATGAAATAAAATCCGATATCCATAACATGAGAAAATAAAAAGCATCCAAAGATGCAATTACTATTAAAAAGATAATAAAAAGCACAAAAAATGCACGTCAAGAATTTTTCTATAACTTCAATTTTATTATATTTTTTACGCGATCGCAAGTGCCGAAACTAAGTCTAGCAAATGTTTCTTTGCATCTATTTATTAAGTATAATAAATAAAAAATTATGTAAACACGGCGAGCATCTATTCGGTTGATTTTTTTAATAGGATAGGGTGACAAACGAGCACACAGTCCACCTGATGGTAAGACCCATAGACATCCACATCTATCCTCAATAAAGAATCAAAATGCAGATGCGTTGTCACTCATGAGGACTAAGATGGAATGCCTCTTTTCCAGTAAAAAGGGTCTCCGGTTTTTTACCCTCACCATGCGAAACACAGCAGTGTTAAGCTGCTATTTTGCGCTGGTATTCTTTTTTTTTATAGGAGTGGGGGCAAACGAGCATGCGGCTCACCTGATGGTAAGTGACTACCGCCGCCCATGAACAATTGCAACACCAGGGGAATTGCAGATGCGTAGCTGGCCTTTTAAAAAGGAGTAGGCTCTTTTCTTGAAGATCCCTAAGTCGTATCGATCCGGAAAAATTGCTAGTGGTAATCAATTCTACAAGGAAGTTGTGCGAGGGAGAAAACTTTTTCTAAATCACACAGTGGTTGACCGCCAATCATCCAGATGTTATGGATGGTATCGCGAGTTTTGTCACGATTTGCGGTGGTGAAATTGAGCGGCTGGAATTAGTCCGAACAATTCCTCAGAGCACTCCCCCGTGATAGATGCGATAAAATATGCAAAGAGATGCAACATCTCTACGCAGTGCCAGTGAGTCAAGCCGATCGGAAAGAACTCAGTCGTCGACGATTCGAACCGCTCTGCGCTGGATGCGGTTAAGTGGAAGGAGCTGGCACTGGGGAGCCCCTGCCCAGAGATGGGAACAACCCTCCACCTCCCATGGCCCCACCGAC